AATTAGTGCTGCGCTGAATATTTATCGAATCGACTACGAGAGGATCGGCGACTTCGTTTGCAGTAAGTCCGGTCGATCGACTGCGTCGCGAGGATCAGGAAATTAGATTCACGGCGTACTTCCCTCTGACTCGAACAGAATCAATTTCTCGATACGGGATAAGAGTTCGGAGATATGTGAGAGAGGAGAGGAATTCCTATCTCGAGAGTGCTAATCTCACAAATTTTCTTGATATTTCGTATTTCTCGTTTTACGACTGAATTTTTGCTCGAAAACTAAATTGAAATATAGAGGTAACGAAAATATACAGATAAACCCATTCATATTTCTCGTAATATAGAGGAAGATAATTTATAGTAATATTAATAATAATGTCGATGTACAATAGTATTAGCTGTATTAGAAATTGTCTGAATAATATTAAATCTTAATCTACAGATTGATATTAGATACCAAATGAATATATTGAAATGAATATTAGGTGAAACATATATCATCCATTCATTTATTACAAAACAACAGCTATTTCCCGATTGTCTCTGTATAAATTATTTAAATACTACACTGAGAGAAAAGTGTTTGATATTTGTGATTGCATGGTAAAATAATTATAATTAAGAGCTCCAATTTTATAATTATTACTGCTATAATATTAGCAATAATTATTTTTATAGTTCTGCATACAAAAAATATATAATAGTTGGCACCGAAATGACTATGTAATTTATGATTGTTTTCGGGCCTAATTATATATTTTTATAACAATAACAACTATAAAAATAGAGCTCCTGACTTATTATTTTATATAATTATAGTCACAAGTACCCAACATTTTCTTCTGACAAGGAAAAGCTTTTAGTGTTCTTCTTCGATTGTAATAAAACATGTTTGTAGAGCGGATGAAAATATTCGATATATATTTTTTTTATCAGAAACCAAATATGTTTAAGGGGTAAAATTCCACTCTCTCGGAAATCAGCCAAATTTTCGTTATTCGATTGCCGATAAAAAAAAAATACGTATCGAATATTTTTATCTCCTCTAAAAACCCATCAAGTTTCATTAAAATCAATGAGGGACACCTGGCAGCCTTCCTTTGTGAGTGTAATTTTGGATAAATAAATCTAAATATGCTCTCTAAATTCTTTAGAGTGAAATCTCACTCTAAAGAGTGAAATTGAGCCAATCTTAAAAAAGAGTGGCTCAATTTTCAATTTTTAAAAGTGAGATTTTACTCTAGAATGAGATTCATTCTACAAGTTTTAGAGAGAATGTGTTAGATCTAAATAAAAAAGTAGATTTAAATATACATCGCCCGGATAACATTCACATTCCAATTAGCGTCTAATAATAATTATTAATTCCGTGAAACAGAAGTGCAGCGGACGTTCCTCTGTGAATGTCTACTACCGGAAGAGGGGCAAGATTATCTAGGCGGGCAACTCTCACGGACAATTAGTCGCACCTGTCGCTGGCCGCCGCGGCTTCGGGCACTCTCGCGATACAGAAATCCGCCCATTAATATCGCGCTGGATAGAACTGTCGGAAGCACCGGCGTGCATCCACATGGGATAGACTCTTATTATCGTAACTGTATACAATCATTAACATCAACCGTCCGGTCATCGATACCAAGGAAATCCGCTGGCTAGTCGTCTTTAAGTTTGATAAATACCATGAGAAACGCGATCGAGTTTTCCTCGTAGTGTTGGATCGAGATGATGAAAGGAAAGACAGACAGTGAAACGACTGTCAGGTATCATTATGTAAGCAAAATCTTGAATTCAGGAAGTTTCGCTGCAAAGATGCAATTTTCATTGCATCTCCGTGGAATTACTGTATTCTATTAGAAACGATTTTCATGACTGATTGTAATAAGCGATAATTAATTTCATTTTATGAAATTATGCTATTTCGTTATTTCGTAAATTATAATAATTTTAATGCCTTTTTGTAAGACATAAACTCAAATGATAATCGCGTGCACGGAAATATCACATAGTTGTTGTTTCGGTGTGCTGTTGCAAAAAATTAAGAGAAATTACTTTTCCAGCGATGAAAGTAACGAAAGCCGAGACACGGCGAGAACAACGGCGAATATTCTGGGAATTTAAATGTATGTACAGACATACACCGAGGATACAGATAAACGGGCGCGACAATGATGGCGCGTGTCCTCCTGCGCTTTCTGAACAAACGTGGCAACGCATAACTTGATATTGTAGACGCAATTCTTTCGAATGAATAAATAAGCGGGATTCCTCCATGAAAAGGGATTTGGAAATTGAACCGAGCTCGTCGCTATAGTTTGGAGTGCTATCCGTCGGGACGACAATCGATTCAGACGTGGTCCTAATTTACCAGCGTCACAGGAAAAACCTGTCGTAGGCGGAAGATATTGATAAACATTTAATCGATCATTTTCCATCGTTATATCTTTGCGATCTCTCTTTACGTATTAGTAATTACACGATAAAATAACAGTAAATCGATGGAAATAAAACGTAATCCCAACCAATTGAATTTTATTACTCGAGACACGATTCAATACAGTCACAATTTTATTAAAGACTAACTGAAGCCAACTTTATACTCGAAAGTATCAAGAAAACGTAATTAAATAAAAAAATGATTCTATCGTTTATATTACGAGAAAAACTATTACCTGATTTATGTTTTTAAAAAGGAATATATATTATATATAATATATATAATATATATAAGATAAATCTATTGACTTTTAGCTTTATTTTTTGAGAGCGCTCCTTCGTCTTTGTACATTTCTCTTTTAAAACGACCAATTTATCTGATATTTCATAATTTATATTATTAGCTAATGAAATCTTGATATTATACCTTTATAATTAATTTACTTTATTAACACAGTTCTTTTTCGTTGAAAATAATTACGAGCCATTTTTTGAGGCACTAACGCTTAAGAGATTTTAGATTATCATCCGTTTATACTTTTTCTCGGTTAGAATTACGTTTTGCTTTCGTTCATTTGTAATTTTAATTTGTCAAAGAGTGTAATTGTACAGTACGCTTTGGAATGCCAGTACCAATGCGACGCGTCGCAAATAACGCAGAATAGTCGCAGAACTGCTCTGTAACGAAACGCTATTAGATCACACAATATTTACATCTTTTAGGTCAACATCGCCTCGGGATGAGAGTTTCCTTTCCCCCTTTTCTCCCTTTCGTAAAATTGTTCACCATAGTCGTGCTGCACCTGCGTCTCTTTATCGTCGCTCACTGTGTTTCGCGTCCCTACGCGGCCCCGCCGTTCTGTTTTATCGCATCCCTTTTTACTCGTCGTTGACGGCATAAAGAAATATCTGAAATACCCGGAATATACTTCCGCCAAGACGTCTTTCGTCGAGACCGGGAGAAACAAGATCGTTTATATCCTGCCGTGCGCGCATTTGGCGCAATGCTCCTCCAAGGGGGGTCCTTCTTGTAATGCTCTTTATCTTTCGCGTGTGTCTTCCGTGCATGTCGGTTGGCTGTAGTGCAGGAGATTCGATCGAGCACGAAGTCTATTCAGCCAATAATAATCGATGGAAGATGCAACCAGCGGCTTTGAGAACGTTAGCCTTTGCTTTTCCTCTTCGTTCTTTGAGAAAGAGCCTGCCAGTTCGCCGGTCTCGTAATCATTCTCGAATAATCAGACGCGGGCAACATTTATAGGATCCAGTTAGATTCCTTTTAGCTTCACACATTTTCCGCACTCTTTCGCTTCCGTCTTTCTTTACAGGAAGTATGTATGACGTACTCCGTGACGTATTCGATAAATTTAATTTACGAATTCTTTATGCTGCTTAAACGCTAATGGAAAATATTAATTTATTTAGCTGGTGATTTTATCAAGAAATTATATATTTTTATATAGAAAATTTTATTATTACTATATTGTTATTTTTGTTTCGTTTAAAGAGAAATAATCATAATAATCATAAATTAAAAAATAAGATCATTTTTTTGTTAATTATGCTTCTGAGATTGTTCTAACATTTTTGACTATGAATCTCAACCCAAGAAGATGAAAACGACAAAAGGACGTTAAGCGGATGACAAGGAATACAAGGAAAATTCGCCAAAGTTTCCTATGTATGGCCCACTTTCGTCATGGTATTTGAGTAACCGCGATGACAGGATAAGACGTGAAACTTTTAATTGCGCCAGACGACTTGGCAAACATCCCCAGCTTTCTGCAACTCCCTTTTTCATCAATTCTTGCAAGGCGGCAGTTCCTCTTGTCAAACCAGCGGCAATTTGTACGTGGCTGCTTCCCCTCCCTTCCGATGGAGATCAAGACTTCCTTCGGCTTTTAAACAAGTCTGTTATAGCAACTTTACCAAGAAAGTTCCTTTAAAACACGCTGGAGAGCTGGATTATTTGCTACAACCTCGAGTCGAGAGCGCGGAGCAACTTTGATAGCTTGTAGTAGGTCGTTCTAATCAGCATTCATAAATTAAGGGGCGCCCATAAATTAGGAGATGTAAGGAAGTTAAAATTTCATACCCGGATCAAGCTAAATATTTGAAACTTGATTAACAATGAAGTACTTGAAAGATTTAGCGGATTTTCATTTGCAAAAGCGCAGACTTCTTTTTGACTTGCTGCAATTTATTAAAGAAGCTCCATTTATTTCAGCCTGTTGATTAAGTTCCTGCTTCATGAAAATTAAAAAAATTAATATATTGCAAAATGTCAAATATATCGTGGTCACATGAAGTAATCAAGATAAAATTTAAACGTTCAAGGTAAAATTTAAATGTTTTAATCAAACAATTGTTACTACAACATTCATATAGTTGGAACATTCTAAGAAATATAAATCAATTGAAACTGTTTTAAAGAGAAGAAAATCTAAAGTTCTTTTTAATGAGAGTTGTCGAATTATATCGAATTAATTTGATTTACTATTTTTACTTGAAAAGATTTATATTTCTCTTTAGCAATATATTAGTGATATTTATACGTCGTTCTGTCCTCAGGTACCGAGGCCTTTAATCGAGCAATGCTCATGAACGTCGGTTATGTAGAGGCTCTAAAGGAACGAATTTTCGACTGCTTCATCTTTCACGATGTTGACCTACTTCCGGAGGACGATAGGAATTTGTATACTTGTCCCGAACAGCCTAGACATATGTCAGTCGCAGTGGACAAATTCAAGTACAGGTAAAAATATGATCTCGTTACACAAAAAACCAATTCTAAGTAGGCAAACATTCTAAGTTATAAAACATAGTTACATATTTTAAATCTAAACAGATCTATATAATGAAATAATTTTGAAATATAAATATAAATAACGGAAAAATAAATTAAATCTTATAAATATCACTTGTAAATTATGTAATTCTCAACATTTTTCATGTGAATCTAGCTTATTCTTTTTTTTAATTGCGAAAAAATTTATTTAATACTTCTTTGTCTTCAGGTTACCCTACAATGATCTCTTTGGCGGCGTGTCCGCAATGTCACGCGAACATTTCCAGCTGGTTAACGGCTTTAGCAACGTCTTCTGGGGCTGGGGTGGTGAAGATGACGATATGGCGAATCGTATCAAAGCCCATGGTCTTCATATTTCGCGATATCCGGCAAATGTTGCGCGCTATAAAATGTTGGCGCACAAAAAAGAAAAGGCCAATCCGAAGAGGTGAGTAAAAAATGTCGTTACTTTTTATTCGGAATAACTAGCTTCTTTGAGTTTTCCTCTGGATTGTAATAATTGAATGCTTAATTTTTTATGATAGGTACGAGAACCTGAAGACAGGCAAAAAAAGATTCTCCACTGACGGGTTAGCTAATCTGCAGTACGAATTGATTGACAAGCGGAAACCGAAGCTGTATACATGGCTTTTAGTGAGACTGACGCCACCTCAGCCCAGCTGATGGCTACCATGGATCGGTTGAAGGCTCCTGCACGCCAAGCTTCCTAGCGAGGTCAATGCAATTGTGTTACGAAAACGCGATCCTGGAGCTCGCCGCTCTTCAAAAAAGCAAGATTAAATACGAGAGACATTTCCGTGAAATCTGTCAGAGAAACATGAAGACGTTTTCTGAAAATACTCCTGGAAATGTTAGAATTCCGATTCATCGATGAAGAGACGAGATCCTGAATGCACCGGCCATTTTTATCCCTAACTGATCTAGCTGCAGATATTTTTGGCCATCCAGTAAATAATTATACATAATTATGGCCCAATGGAGGGAAGTAATAAGCTCGAATGAGAATGATGAACAATTAATGAGAAAGACGAGAATAATTAGGAACGCTTCGTAAGATTGCATTATTCTCAATTAGGAGTTATTTCTATATTGACACGCTCTTTCTGTATTCTTGATTTTATTTCATCGAAAATTGTTTTCAATATCTTTTTTCCGGTCAAAAATTAGTAAAATAAAAGACTAAATTCGAATTATCGTTTGCTTACTGTGTTATTCGGGAAGAGTCCTAAAATGAAAAATTACTGGGCGTATAGGAGGTGCAGAATCAACAAAAAATGATTGAAACGCATTAGTGGTAGGGATAGGAAAAGAAATGATGCTTCCACATCAGGGATTCGAGTATCTCGCCGCTGCGTGAGGGTCTCGTCTTCAGTTTTCCTTCCTCTCACGGAGGGGGCGTTGTTACGTGATATATTTTTATTCCTCATATTTTTTTATTGCGACGATAGGTTAGAGAGCGAGTAGAGAGTAGCATATGAGCTGACGTGCCAAAGGAAAGTGTACGTGAGTATATGTGTGTATGTGCGTGTGCTGTGCGGAAGAAAGGAAGACGAGAGAAAGCAGGAAGAGAACAGCTAAGAGGACGAAGAAGCTTCAATATCCTTCTTAGAGCCATGGCTACCGAGTCATGATATTATATACGCAAAGCAAGCTGTCGTCGCTCGAGGGGACTTTAGAGAGCTTCCGCTTTTACGGCTTATACATCGTATCCACCAAGGAGCGATCATCGTGCATGATAAAGTCTCGTTAGTGAACAGAAGGGAATATCCAAGCAGTAAAGATCTGAGAGATCGTACGATGACCTATTAATAATAATAAATCAGCCGTAATCCTTTTAAATTTTAACGTGATTCAAGGGTGTACTTCCAATCTTCGAACCCTTCCGCTAACGGGGCACCATTCTACGGTGCTAAAGATAGAGACTGGATTAGAGTATATAATGAGGGGACAGAAGGGTGAATAATAATGTCATGGATAAAGTTTCTTCTAGGGTTAATTGTGCAAGATGTAATGTGAGAAGTTTCGAATCGCTTTTCAAGGTCGCGTATTATTCGTTAACCCTTGATCCCGAGCATGTTCTAAATTTGTAATTCAATCATTCGTGACGGGATCGAAGCATATTTTTTTACAGGGCTGTAAATTATCAATTGGCTTCGTTGCAAGGGGATTGATTTCTTGATCGATATAAGCGCGAGCGGCTGTGTGAAACGGTACTTAATTGTTTATCATTTGGTGAAGAAGCATCGAGTGTAAACATGTGTTTGCGTTTGCTCGCATATATTTAGATATGAGAGAGAAATTGTTAGCTTCATGAAAGATAAATATGCTTCCATATGTTTATTTTATATATTTATGGAATAAGAACTGGAAACTTCTTCCATAGACGACTTTATTTCCAAGTTTACTTGCACCAATATCAATGAAAATTGGAAAAGTTTCTTTTCCAAGAAGAGACTGTTTCTAACTGATGTCGGCTAAGTTTAACTTCTAAACTATTGCTGTCTAAACTATCTCTTTACAGAACTAAAACTAAAAAGAATCATTTATTTGAAACAAAATTGACCTTAAAATAGTTGGAAAACCTTAATAAAAAAATCGTTGACGACAGGAGATACATTAATTAATTATGATTTAAGAGATTAACAGTAATTGATTATTCGATTTACTCTTAGAATCGGTGATTAATTATACAATTATTTGCATGATATACCTACTTAATACATATATCATAAATCGTAAGATTCATCTGGATATACGCGAGCGTAAAGATTTATATGCGGAGTGATAGCAAATGCAATCAAGAGACGTAGGATACACTAACATATCATGTCCTGTCATAGACACATGTATGAAATTTTACTGTGCTGTGGACGAGCATACTTAAGCGTTAAACGCAAGCGAGAACGCGGGCTGTGAATAATGCATCTTTTTGCGGATGAACGAATCATGAGAAGGAACAGGACAGTAATTCGACTTATTGCGATGACGGGGAGACGCTATTAACATCCTTTTCCGCATCGCGCATTAGCGATCAATACCTTATTCATCCCCTTATTTCAGAGCTCTCTGAATCCATTCTTTGACTTTCCGAAGTTTTTTGACCTGTCACTTTGCATTTTATGGTTTTTGAAAAGCTCTTGTTGAAATTTTCCACTAAATGTTAGTATCAATCATTTAAAATAATAATTAAAGGAATCTTATATTGTTACATTATTTATTTATTTATTTATTTATAAAATTGGTAGAATCTAGAAAATATCTAAGCTTGTTATTTGATTAATTTAATTTTTACTTGCTTTTCATCTATGAGCAACGGAAATGCGAAGTGATAAACGTCATAATTGCTTGGTGAAGGTAGAAATTAGCTAATGTTCGTTGTACAGGCATAAACACGAAGATTCCGACTGAAAAATGTATAGGATATGCGGAAAATGTATTGGGTATGCGCTTGGTGCGTTCTTATTGCCATTCCTGTGATTGAACATTCCGATATTGTTATTGATCTGAATGCAAATTATCAGTTTGGACGTTCCATTGTCATTTTTGCATGTGACTTGAAATATTTCAGGAACGTGCTATCAAAGTTATTGCATCATTCTATATTGTTCATTACACATAAAATAAGGATAGGATGTCGCAATAGCTCTGATAGCAATCTCTTCGAATGCAGCTTTAATCTCCTCAGACCTAAAACTTCTAAGTCATCTAAATATTTTCATAATTAAACAATTTTTCTAATTAAAGAAATAGTTGGAAAATTACAGGTGCAGATAAAAAATGCCTTCTTAAAAGAAAAGAAAATTCTAATAAAGAATATTTTTCATGATTTCAGCACAAATATGAACATCAGAATATCAAAAAGACAAAATCACATATTATAATGTTTATTGCACGTTTCTAGAAATATATTCATACGTTTGATTCTAAAATTTAGTTATCCAATATAATTACGTTCAATACAAAAATTGTATGAAAATCTTAAAGACGTAGCATAGAAATGTAGAAATAAATCACAAAATGATTTTGTTTTGAGAAAAGATAGTAATTCACAATCAAATCATATCATTTATAAATATGATTTTATAACGTAGATCACTAAAGGTCTGAGGAAGATAACAAAAAGTTCGCTGAACTCTTAACTAAAATGTAATTTTGTTATGAGATGTAAGAATTGTCTTGAATATTTTTCATTACGTGGATTACTAATTAATTTGCTGCCATTGAACGGAAAGCGAAGCGAATGTACGAAGAAATAACCAATAAGGGATAATATTTCAGTGTAGCTTTTAAGAGAAAACGTTGTATCATATATTATTACCGTTATCGATTAATCGGGAATACCTATAAGTTAGGATAGGGATGAAAGAGAATATTCAACGTGCGCCGTAAAAGGAATATAAGTTACAATTTTCAAAGGACATTAAATTGTTTCAATATTAATTAAAACAATAAACTGTTGTTGACTACGATATACGATAGGGTGTTTCCAAATTAAATGGCAAAACTTCGGGAGCGTGTAGAGGAGTAAAAAACTAAGAAAAAAAGTCCTATAGACATATGCTCCTTTTTGCTTTGTTTCGCAGGAAATCACGAAAAAAGAAAAAAATATATTTAATTTATTATTTTAATTATTTTATTTATAAACTTTTTAATGAAGATTTTGTTCGAAATGTGCACCTCTTGCAGCAATACAAGCATTGCATCTGTCAAACACGGCTCTTGTAGCAGCCAGGCACTGTTCTTGCGATATTCTGTTCGCTGCAGCTACGATACGATTTCTCAAATGTTGCTCTGATTGAATAGGCGAAGAATAAACTTCTTGCTTCAGAGTACCCCATGCATAGAAATCTAATGGCGTTAAGTCGGGCGAACGAGTTGCCCAATGTACTGCTCCTCCACGTCCAATCCATCGTTGTGGGAATTTTCTATCTAACCAGGTTCTAGCGACTCTGCTGTAATGAGCAGGGCATCCATCTAATTGAAACCACATTTCAGTACGTTGTTGTAATGGGATGTTTTCTAAATAGTCAGAAAATTCATTCTCCAAGAAATTTAGAAAACGGTCCCCATTTAATCTTGCAGGTAAAAAAAAC